GAACGAAAACCATGCCCAGAGGCATCTTCCAGCTTAAAGAGAAGATTGGTTTGTGAGAGAGAGAGCATCCTCCGTGAGTCCTTTGCTCTTGAAACAATGTCACCTGGCTTTCCCCCTGGCCGGCAGTACCGAGGCCACAGACGCCTAGAGTTACGGTCAAAGACATGAGCCTGTAGGAGAGCCTCAAAAAGTCCAGGAGGTGAAAGTCCCTGACTGGCCAGACATGGTCAAGCTGGTCAAACAAAGAGCTTGCTCCCTACTATAAGGATGGGTTCTACGCAGGAGCTGCTTCCACAGCATGGCTCCTGAACCTATGGGCAGCCCTTGGGTTGCTACATGACCAAGATCTACAGGGGCAGCTGAGAAATGACATCTTGCCCAGCTGCTTCATCCAGGGTTTCCAAGAGTGTGGCCCACCTGAACCTCTCAGTCCTGGAGGCGCTGGAAATGGTAGAGGACCACCAATATGGTGACTGCAAACTGACACCTCAGAGACACAGAGATGGGGACAGAATCACTGGGCACCACCACCTGGTCCTGCGCCAGCCTCACGTTGATGATGTTTGAGCCCATTGCTGCAGCCATTGTGCCAATCCATCTCACAAAGGGCCTCCCTTGTTTTTGATGCCCTCCACTTTAGCATCATAGACTTCTGCAGGAACTGGTCTCTCCTGATAACACATCCAAGGTATGTGAGACAAAGTCTCGCCATCCATTTCTCTGAGGAGCATTTTGGCTGTACTTCTTCTGAGACAGATCTGTTCGTTCTTGGCAGTCACGGTACTTTCGATATCTTTTGCCAACAAAAGGTCAAATGCACCAATTCTTTGTTCTTCCTTATGTAATACCCAACTTTCATATGCATAGGAGGTAACCTAAAACTATCATGGCTTGGGTCAGGTCACACCTTAGTCCTCAAAGTAACATCCTTGATTTTCAACACTCTAAAGAGGCCTTGTACAGCAGAGTTACCCGATGCAATACATCCTTTGATGTCTTGACTGCTGCTTCCATGAGCCTCAATTGTGGATCCAGGCAACACAAAATCCTTAAAACTTTGATCTTTTCTCCATTTATCATGATGTTACCTATTGATCCATCTGTGATGATTTTGGTCTTTTTTACATTGATTTACAATCCTTGATCTTTAATAAGCGCTTCGAGGCCTCTTCACTTTCAGCATCAAGGTCATGTCATCTGCATATCACAGGTTATTAATAAGCCTTCCTCCAATCCTAATGTCGCATTCTTCATCTAATCCAGCTTCTCTGATGATTTGC